GGAGGTCCGTATGGCGTGATGACACTCGTTTTCTCCGACTCGAAAAGAAATTTGTCGAAAGGAGACTTTGAGTTAGTTGAGGTGGGTGAGTCGAGGAACGGAATCTTTTCATTCAGATTCCGACGTTGACGAAGGAGCTGAGCCTTCGGAAGCTAAACAGAAGTGTGAAAAGGAAGGAATCTCACGCTTAATTCCTCGTTCAAAGTATATAGTTGAGCAGCCAGCGACATAAATTGGTCATCCAATGTCCGAAGAACATCTGCCAGTTCCTTCGGAGTCAAGGAGGCTTTGGCGCGCGAGGACAGAGAGCCCTCAATAGCTTCCACTTGTTGTTTGTACGTTTGAACACGATGTCCAAAAGAGGAAATGCAATTCTTGAAATACCTATCAGCAATGGTTCTGGAATAGAGCTAATTGCATTACTCCGTAAGTTCAGAGGCGTTCTGGGCGAAATCGCAAGTCATGTCAAGGGATCGTTGAACAATGCTGGAATTCCTTTCGAGCTTCAAGACTTCATCGCTCATATGCGAAGATTTTACACTTTGACGCCGGAGCTCCGATAAAATACACGTCACAGAGCGTTGTAATTCGACAAGTTCAAAAAGTAAATCATCCAGAGGTTTTAGCGAAGTATTATTTATTTCGTCACGTTGTCTTTTTTGATCAGCAAGGTATTTTCTTAAAACATCAGTAATAGTCTTAATGGCATACTTCAAATCGTCAACCAATTTTAATATTTCAGAGGATACTTGAGTGTCCTTCTGCTCTTTTGAATCTCTAACACGGATAAAATAGAAGCTGTGCCTTACAACAATCCTGAAAACGTTGCTAAAATGGACATCTCAGGAACCAGACAATTACGATTTTGCTTGCACGATCTAACACCCAACCAGTAATACCGAAGTTGTGCAATCCCAAAAAAAATATTGTTTGTCGGCAACTTGCGTCAACAATATCCCGTATGCTTGAGGATAAAGGGTATCGGTTTAAATAATAAAGGACGACCCTACCCGGAACACGTAAGCTCCGTCAAAATACGGAGATAGTCAAGACTCGACCATCATTAGCATCTCCACAATCCATAGTGTTAGTGTGCAAGGATAATTACGTCCCACCTCTTTTGAAGTGAAAACTTCATTTGGGAATAAATTTACTTTATTATCGCTATTAATGAATTGGTAAACAAATCAATTGCGAAAATAAATGATTATACAAAAATACATTTAGTAAATTTCTGCACAAACATTGCTTAAAATTAAACGTGGGTGGATTTGGCCTGCTTACTAGTACATTCCAATTCACTTTAATGATTTTATTTAATAGTTTGTTCGAAATTTTTGCTGAACCTACAAATTTAAATACTTTGTTTCGAAAAGTTGCATGTTTTTTCGTATAGGTGTGCACAATATTGCTAATACCTGTTTTTAGCGTTTAGGGTGAATATAAATTTAAAGCGCGAATTCTCCTTAACCAATAGGACTGTTCTTTGGTTCGGGGTGTGTTCAAGGCTCTCGTTGGTGGTGGTGTCAAATGGCAACAGCTTTGTCCGGTGAAATCAGTTACGAGAGTATTCTAGCTCGGGCTGCAAATTATAATCGGCAATTACAAATCGATAAAAAAAGCCGTTTGCCTTTCTTGGATAATGCAACAGGAATAGCTCAGAGGCCCTGCTATTTACTGCGCAAAGATGATGAAAGGTACCTCAGCCCACTGGACGACAGAATTTTTGCATACTACCCTCACAAGTGGAAAAAGACGAAGAAGAATATACTTTCACACAGTTCTGTTGTTCGCTCTGCTGATCAGTACAACAACAATGCTCGAGCAGGTAATAGCGCGCTACGTTTTGACAGGTTTTCTCGCAGCTGATTTATTTTCGGGTAGCGGTCTTTCAGCCCAAGATGCGTTCTGGCGTGAACTAGACGATGAGGATAGCCACAGCACCTGGGCCACAAACCCAGTGTATGACATCGATTCGGAGGGTAGCGAGTTAGCAGATGAAACTTATGGCGGTCGTCGTAAAAAACGAAGAACAAGAGTCAGTCATCAACTTTGGCATTTACTCATTCATTTAGACTCCACGTTCCGCCAAACCATATGCGAACCAAGGTCTCACCCCTATCGGTCGTAGGCGAGCCGCCACTAATTCCTATTATTCCAACTACACTAATGGCAGCGTAGTCTATGACGAGGAATCCAATGACAAGTTTTCAAACCCCCAATTCGTCTGCGAAGCCTGCGGCATGCGCTACAAAACAAAGACTGGTCTCAATTATCACTACAACTCTCAACACATGGCCAACAGTTCTCATGTTTGCTAAATTACTTAACACGACATTTTCTTGTAGTCAAAAAAACCTAATCCGCTTCCGGCTGTAAGAAATAATCAATCCCTCCCTCATACATCCGTCAATACGGGTCTCCTCTCTGCTTTAATTGAAAACACTCCGAGGGATAGGGATCGGTCTGCGACCTGTAACAACAATTCGCGGAATTTGCCGAGCACAAGTAAGTGTGTTACAAAACATAAATTTGAAGTATATGCTCTAGAGATTTCTGTGCTGCTTGGGCGGGTGTGTGATATTAACGAGCGGGTTTTGTGCCCCTTTCAGTGCTTATCCGTAAGGGCTAAGGAGCGGACTGGCGTTGGGGGCAACCACCTGCGAAGGCAGTCAGCCAATCAGGCACTCCAAAATACAATCCTAAAACACATCTATCTACACACACAGTCGCACGCAGAATGGTGTGAAGGTACATATAGGGAGTGGTACTTCTTAATATGCAAGAACTCCACTCTCTGCCCGCTTGACTAACTAACTGTTGCCATCATCTCTAAAACAAAACAAAGGAGGCAGTCTGATGTGCTGAACCAGGTGGCCCCTACGCCTTTCTTCCCACTCCTACCCTTGCTCATTTTTCCTCCCTTGATCCCTTGCCCTCTTCCCTTCCCCGTCCTCCTAATACCCTTCTGTCTTACTCGCTGATTTCTCTTTTTTTGTGCGTGCTCTCTTGTTTGCCGTTGTTCCCTTGTTTTTTTACACATCTGGAACTGAACATGTGTGGACAACACGTCTGCACATCCACACCTCAAGTGCTTTCGTTTGTTCCTCTCTTTTTGCCCTCCTTTTTTTTCACATTTTACGCGCGTTGAGATTGCTCAAATACATACTAACTTTGCGCGAAAGAAGTTGTAATACTACTCGTGTTTAGCTCATTTCTGTTCAGAAATGACAAACTCTTTTGATTAATTTATTTAAGAACATTTTCAGCCATTTTGGGCCTTTCAATTTTTTGACCTTGTAGGCTAGACCTTGGGATGACATGCATTGTTTCATGTCCTTCTTGATCTGTTGTTTGAGGGCATTTGTGATCTTCCCACATCCAATTAATCCATTTGAAGCACCTATAGCGCTGCATGACGTGCGTTGAAAAGGATTGGAATTTGTTTTCAGTTAAGTTGTTGTCTTCCAAACCAGTTTTACACTGACCTGTTACTCATTAGTCATACAAACTCATTGGTATCCTTGGGCGATTTTTGCATCGCTTGGCCTTTGTAAATCTTGGTTAGCGGATTTCAGTGAAACCTGTCAGGCATAATTTAGCAACTTTCAGGTGCCTTCATCCCTTTCTTTGCGTCGTATTCCTTAAAATTGCGTCTTTGTCCGATTCTCATCATTATTGTGGTAAATGCGAACCAGTTTGCCTTTGTCACCTGGCA